TAAATCAATTGTATTAGCTGTGACCTACTGGCAGATAGAGTGTATTATTATGTTTGTGTGATGCAAACTTTGAGACTAATTTAAGAAATTGTTCGAAATACTCTGCACAGTAGTGACAATACGAATTTAGATCATATGATATTGATGATTTAAGTAGTCCAATTTCCAAATTTAAATGTAGAGTTAACGTTAAATATCTTTGTTAGTCAATAGCAATATCGAATTTTGTAGATGATGATGAAATATACGTCTTAGCACTTTGTCTTGCTTTGATGCAAGTGAATTTCTTAATTATGATGACGAAAACCAACATGTTAGCGATGACAAAACTGACTTAGAATGTGGCAGCAGTAATAAAGTTAATAACCAATGGGTGATGGTGACAAAGATAATATAAACTCTGTTGGCAAATTTCTAATTCCTCAAACATGTATCTCTACTAAAGATGGAAGTAAAATATTTACTCCTTTAAAATCATTTAGAGATATTATCAGATTTATTGATAGTAATGGTAATAATAATAATAATGGTACAACCATTAAAAAGCAAACCAGTAATCATTATAGTTAATGCATCCGGAATTTATAAAGAAGCCATGAATAATACCAAAAGAAAACATAAATGTTCTTCCTCACGATTGTCCAAGATTAAAAAATTCCAATTGCTCCAACAACTTTCAATTCGTCTTTCATGTGATCACCAGCATAATTCTTTAGAAATCTCACACAAGTATAATTTAAAATCATTTTATGATACATTCATTTAAAAATCGACAACAAATTATCGAAATGTATAGCTCAATTACTGGTGATCTAGATATGTTATTTAAAAGGCATGATCCGTGGTCCATCTATTTTTTCCATCTCTCAAAATAAAAGATTTTAGTATTTTGTCGGGAACCATCAGCATTATGTTATACTTTATGGAAAATGGTTTAGAGATTACTACTAAATAATTTGAAGATCAAAGAAGAATTTATAGATTGCAACTATTGATGATGATAGTAAACTTTTAATAGTTCTTGAAGGAAAAGAAATCCAAAAGTTGAAAATTTCAATTACCAAATAATAGTATGGGATTTATTTACCACATATGAAAATTCATACGTCAAATTGATTATTCTGAAACTCAGAAACCTCTAAAAATGGATATAACACATAGATTAATAAATTCTCATGGAAAGATATTTGTGGTTACAAATAATGGAGAGATTATTTCGTTGTTAGATTATCCAGACGTGGCTTCAATTAGAAACCCTTCAGTGAAGGCCTTGACTAAAATTAATATAATTCCGGAGAATAATGTTTGTCACGCAATTTATAATATAAATGGTGAAAAATCTGACATATTCAAAAATCAAATATTTACAAATAATGTTGAACCATGGCATCCAAGCAAAATTTTATTTTCGAATATCAGTTTACTTAGACTCTATTAAAAGAACTCAACTTATTATATTGCATAACGCTATTCAAGTATCGAGACATCGTAATAATCATACCATAGAAAAATCTAGTAAATGTGAACGAGTATTAGAATACATCTGGGCTCGAAAAAAAGTGATGGAAGTTCAAGAATTAAGTGATGGGGAACGAGAATTTGTGTTAAAGTTTCAGTACCTTCTACAAATTCTTGTACACCAAAAACAATGACGATACATTGGCCAAATAATATAAATGTTCTTGAATCAACATATCAAGCAACTTTTGTATTTGGAGAGAAGAAGCATATCATATCGAGCAACTTTTGTATTTGGAGAGAAGAAGCATATTGTAGCTGGTCTCGAGATGTTAATCAAATTGAATATTTAGATAAATTCACACAAAAATTAGTACAAAGAATGTTATAAAATAGGAAAATTTAGATTAGTAAGCATTAGATATCCAATCATGAAATATCTTATTACAAGTCATCTATTTTACATACTCTAAAAAGAGGTGATTCGACAGTAATTTTAAAATATTTAATAGATTATTATGCTGATAATGCTAAAGAATATAATAATTATGGTTGGATGTTTACTGTAACCAAAGCAATACCTTTACTATATGATTATCATTTAAATAAGTCAAATTCTTTACTTTATTATTTTATTTTGATAGATTAATTACATTTATCAATTAATTCTTTTTAATTGGATTAAATTTCTTTCTTTTAATTCTTCAAGATTTAGTCAAAACGCCATGCTTTGAAATTACTGAGGCTTACACTTCATCATTACATATAGCCCTCAAAATCAAAGGAAAGAAAATAATGCAGCCGTGATACATTTTTTGGTAGTAAAATTGTGGCTCGAAGTGGTAGTTCTTTTTTTGTCTGCTATGCTCTGCTTTTTCTCGTTCTCTTTTTCTCTCTCTCTTTATTTCTTTCTCTTTTTCTCCCTTTCTCTCTTTGTGAACGAAGCAAATTTATTATTATTATTATTATTATTATTTTAAAATTGTTGTTTGTGCTCTCTTTATTAATATAATAGTATTTATTTATAGATATTACTATTGAGAGATTTTGAAGGTCCAGGACGTTTTATTTATATCATTCAAAATATTTTAAAAACTATTTGGCCATTCTTTGTATTCATGTTGATTGCCACACTTGCATGGGGGGCCGCTATGTAATTATATTCATTATAATAATTTTGTTAATTTTGTTTCGTTACGTTATTTTAAACATTACTAATTTATTTCATTTTATTTCATATTATTTGGATTTTATTGTATTTTATCATATTTTATTGTTATGATTGTCTTCAGGTTCATTCTTTTTAATTATGTGAATGAATTACAAATTACTAAATAGCTTATAAATATAACGATTTTTCAAGATGTTGATAAATCTTCCCGTCTTGATAATCATTATGGGCATTTCCTCTCATCAATAAAAACTGTATTCTTTTGGACCAATGAACAATGGGATCAATTAGATCAATGGGTAGTTTTGCTGTAGATGTATTGACAATCTGCATATGATTTTCCAAAATATGTCGATCGCATTTATGAAGTACTGTATATTATGATAAATTGTGTGGATTATACTGTAAAAATTCTTTTGTAAAAATTTTAAAATTACAGATTGTAATGTTAATTAATTCTCTTATCTCCCGACTTCTCTTAATTCCATGGTGGCGCATTTGATAAAGTAAACAAAAAAAGTCGAATAGCAACTTATAGATATCATGCTGAACTTATCGTCAGATATGAAGCTTTATAAAAACCTTTTGGTAGTAAAAGAGGTAATCCTCGATACATTTATTACATACCTGATCCTGACATGATTGATACATGGCTTCAAGAAACTAAAAATGATTAGGAGAAAAATTTATTCTTATGGGTGAGAATTTAGCTGAGTCAACAGATTCTGATTCTGATTATAACGATGATTATGATGATGATCGTGAAAAAAATAGTTTATTTTTTATTTTATCATCCAAATTTATTTCAAGTATTATAAAATTATTTCTTGACGCAAATAGAAACATACGAAAACAAATGATTTCTTTTTTTCAAAATTTGTTATCATCTATTTGTAAAAAAAAACTATATTATGTAGTTTTAGCTTTACATGCTTTTTTTTTTGCAAAGGAGTTCGAACTCTTATTCTTATTGCTGTGGCATTTCATTGGGTAAAATAACTGATAAAGTGCATATAATCTTTCAGTCGAAAAGAGGAATACTACTTTAACTATTTGATCTATCAGGTAAGGATAAAAAATATCAGATTCATCTTTTGTTTTATTAGCGAAAGAAAAAATAACAATCACAATTTTTTAAAATGCATGACAATGACTATGAAATATACTCTGTATTAAAGATAAATAAATAAAAATTATAATAAACTTTACATTTTCAAATTGAGTAAAGAATAATCATTTTTTTTTTTTTAAAAAAAAAATTATATAATGCATTATCCTTGTTCATTTAATCCTTTTTCATTATCATCGGAGACCTTTTTCTTATTTGATAAATAATATACAAACCCACCTTCCCTAAAGAGAAAACTAAAAATGCCACAAAAGCTAATGTAACCGCCGATGTTGCTGAAAGCGTCAGCTAGCGTGAGAGCTGGCTCTGCAATCCGTGTAACGATTTCTTTCGGCGCATGGATTCCAATTTTCATAATTCCATCAGCAGTGCTTTTGTCAGGGTAACTGAGAGCGGAACATTGGAAGCTACGATGGATGTGACTATTGTACAATTCAATGTAGCGAGTCTCCGTATAATAGATGACAGCAACTGAATCTACTGTAAGTGACCCTACATTTCCATATTCACTACTTGTAGGAAAAGGGTGGGACCAGTTCGTCTTTTTGTTATCACCTATGAAAACATCCATACTATCAGATGCTGATTGGTTAAAGTTAAAAATATAGAAGGCTTCTTTATCTTTCTTCGGTATTGGCAATATTGTTTCTTTAAACAGATAGCAAACGATTCCCGATTTGTTAATTTTATCATATTTATTAGTTAAATCTTTTACATCATCAATACCCTCCATTTTTGAGTTAATATTCTCAGCATAAAATGCTTTTGTCAAAGATAAATTGAAACTATAGCCATCAACAGTAGGTGGACATAAAAGAATAGATGGCGGTATAGAGTTTTCTAACAACATCAAAGATACCAGTGGACGATCAAACATTTTAGTGACATTGTAAACGGTGGCGATCAGTAAGCCGGCAGCCAGGAGGAGAAAAACAACAATCCTAGCTGGTCTGGTTTTATCTTGTTTATCTTCTTCTTTGTTAATGTGAAAAAAATTTATGAAATGCATCAAAGCATTTTTGTGATTGTCAACAATTTTTACGATAGCATAGATAATGACGATGGTTCCAAAACACACCCCAAACGATAAGGCGATAATGCCTGGTATTCCATTAGCAGTCTTAACCCATGCATGAGATCTAAATGAATCCTCTTTAGGAATTCCTGCGTCGCCCAGATAAAAGTCTTTGTTGACCATAACGATGTTGAAATTACCAGGTCATTAAACGTAATAAAACTTATAATGGAATAAAAAAAAAAATATGGAATAACGAATATTTTAATTCTATAGTACGATTTTTTCAGCTATGTATTTGTCTCGATCTCTAAGAGCTTAATATATAGAAATTCAACAAGACTTGAAGAATCTAAATTAATTTAGTAATGCATGAATCAAAAATAATTTACCCCAATTTAATCACAGTAGTACGATTGAAATTAGCAGTTAATATATATAGCAAAAATTTAGCATAGTACGATCGCGAATTTTAGTATAGTTCGATAGGATTTTCGGTAGAACATACGATTGGAATTATCTCGATTGCATACTTTTATAAATAATAACTGGCTATTATTTTTTTAGAGTAACCACTGGGATATATATTTCATAGTATAATAGTGTACCTTGTTATTTTAAATTTTTGATAAAAAAAAAAAATTAAATGCGCGGATAATATAAAAATTTACAATGCGATATTCGCCCAGTGCAATAAATTTGCTTTTAACAAATGCAATATCTTTTTTTTCACAATTGTCAATCTTTGTCTTGGCATTAGCGTCAATTGGTACAAAAGCTTTTATTTTTATATTCTTTTATTTTTAGATGCATTATTTTTTTTTTTGGATTATCATCACTTAACCTCACTATCCCATTTAATTCTTTAACAGCATACATATGGCGAATTTGTTTGATTTGATATTAGATGAATGTGATAATAAAACAGGATGCATTTGATTTTTTGTGATTTTTGATAAATTAATTATGAAATTATTTGATTTTCAATTGGATGATTATAAGTAGTGAATTCAGTTCTAGATGTTTAAAATAGTATTACAGAGATTTTAAATGGAGTAAACGAAAAATATAACTTTTTTTTGCCGAATTTATTTTAAAAGCATAACATACAACTATAACAATAATATAATTTATTTAAATCAATACTTTGCAGATTGAATAAATTTAATAAATTAGTTATTATCGTTTAATTAAAATCATTGAAAAGTGTATCTTGCTTTAAAATAAATATTTTAATTAATAAATAAATAAAAATAATATAAATGCCCGATTATTATTTCTTCTATTTCTTCACGAAATTAAAAAATCATTTTATTGTTTATTTTCACGTGTACACGGTATTCTCAGGATTAATTCTTACATCCGATGATCATATGGTTTATATGTAAAGAAGTTGACAATCGAAAACAACAAAAAAATCTTAACTTGTGATTTCTTTTTTTTATATAAAAGACATCAGTTCTTAGGGAGGGGAGTGGTTGTCTTTAATCGTAATGGTAATGGTAATCGATATCGATTTCTACCACGATTAAGATTATTTCCTTGCCAAAAAAAAATTATCTTCAAAAAATACAACGAACAACATTTTTATTATTCAAGAAACCACTTAAAACCCGAAACCCATGTCACATTACATTCCAATTTAGAAAAAGATTAGGTCTGTTCTGTATTCTATGTTAATATAATAATGCGTATAATAATATTAAATAAAATTTTTATTGTACTAACTAAAGCAACTATTTGCCGCAATTCTGCAATTATAGATAAAATCAGATATAATTGTTGATGGTTGCTACGCGCAGTATAAAAATGTTTTATTTTAATAAGTTAATGTCAAAAAAAGGTATTAAGTAGCTTTAAAGATAAGAATAAATTTCATATTATATAAAAAGGACAGACCTATAATGCCAAAACTGGGAAAACAATCGGCAGTTAAAGTTCGAACGGGCGAAAAACTTTTAAAACGACAATAATTCACTCAAGTTTGATGCCACTTCTTATAAGAGGTGTAATTAATTTTTATCTTTGAGATTACTTAGTGTTATTTTTGACATTCATTCTATATGTTGTAAGATTGACAATTTTGTATATAATTATGTTATAATTATATAACTAGGCATTGTAAGTCCGGAACCAATGGGATATATAATTATCAAACGTGACTCGAATTCGCTATCATTAATCGTTATCTTTTTACTATCAATTCAAATCGGTACTATGCATATGTCCTCCTGACAATTAATAACGAAATCGTCGATCGTTGCTGCATATATTATATAAGTGAATAGAAAAAATATGGTTAAAAAAAAAAAATAAGTGAATATCAAAAACCGTGATAAGTAACCTCAAAGATAAAAATTAAATAAGAAGTGCATGCCTATACCATCAAAATTGAGCGAATAATTGTCGTTTTAAAAGTTTTCGTACGTTCGAACTTTAACTCTCTTAATTTTAACAATATAGGTCTATTCTTTTTACATAATACGCAACTTTTTCTTATCTTTTAAGTTTGCTTTTGACATTGACTTATTAAAATAAAAGTTTTATATGTAGCAACCATTTCCGATTATGACATAATTACGGCATTATTATTATTATTATTATTATTATGCTAGCGTGATACCACTTCGTACTACCGTACTTACTAAAATTGATACTAACCCCTTAATCTTACTAAGTGATTAGTAATTCTGATTTTTTGTGCACAAACTATTTTTACAAATAGTAATAGTAATAGTATAATTATAAATTCAATTTTATTAAACAAATAAAGATCTTATTTAATTATTCCAAGAAAGAAATCAAATAAGTTATATTAATAAAACTATAGAAAATAACAAATTATAAAGACCTTATTATGGAATTCATCATTCTCATATTTAATAAAATTAAAAATCTTATTACGATATCCCAATTATTAAAAAAAATAACAAAATAATAAAGATCTTATTATGGAATCCATTATCAATTCAATCATTTCTTTAGTATATTTGCAAATTCATCCCAAGGAAGAAATCAGGTAAAAGTATAATAAATATGTATTACTCAAAATTTTTAATTATTTAATATTAATAAATAATAAATAACCTGACCTTTGTGTTTTTTCAGTGAATTTTGAAAAATAAATGTATTTTTCAAAAAAAAAAAAATAATAGTTGCATTTTAGTCATTTTTCACGTTGGGATATTTTAAATGAATCAGTTGAGATGCGCCTTGCGGACGTTATGATTAATTTGTTCACCATTTCGTTTTTTGTAAATGCTCCTTTTATAGATATAATCAAGGAAATCATTTAAATAAATAGCTCATGCGATGTGGTAAAAAAATATATATATATCTATTATAAGTATTTACTTGGTATTAAAATATTTTGTAATTCACCACTATAAAACATACAAAATACTAAATACATAATACATTAAAAATTTATATGAGCCCGTTGGAAAAAAACGGAACAAATGGAATTCGATGATTGCATCCCTCTTTATTAAAATGCTAAAAAGATATTTTTTGATAATATCCATAACATCGTATGACTCTTTGGCGTAGTTCAATTTATGTTTTGTTTTTTAATGCGAGTATTTTTGTTATCTCGTAGCACAGAGTTCAGGCAAAAATGGTTGATATTTCTTCTATTAATAATTTTTTTCTAAGTAATTGGAATGATGGTATTAAAGTATCTCGCATAACACCATGACTAGTTTTAGTTTTTTTTTTTTTTTAAAAAAAAAAAAATTTCTTATAAAATCTATCGATCATTTGAATAAAAAAAAAAGAAACGATATCTGATATATTTTATCGTCGAAGCGAAAAAATTACAAAAAAAAAAGAATGAACATCAATTATGATGACGAAACGAAGAATTTTACTTTGCTTTAATTTATTTCCATTAAATTTGTTTCGGTTCAAGAAATAACTAATACCTCTGTCCAACAGATACGGAAACACCAACAGTAATTAATAGAACGGAACAGATTCTACTACAGATTCTAACAGTTATTTCATTCTAACAAATTCTTATAAAAGTTCTATAATTGTTTTGACTATGCTGTTGGCACGTAAGTTATTCTAAAATTCTATTTTTTTCTAGTCTTGATATATTTTAAATATTTTAAAGCCCTGACTTTTGTGTTTCGAGAGTGTAATATTAAATTATTTCATTTCTTATTTTTCTATACAAAATCATAGGTCTGGCAGAATCGAACTAGAGTTACTTTCACTTTAACTGGCTAATAGTTATTCTGACTGTTCTACACCTACATCTACATCTATGTCTAATAATTTAAATATATGGAATGATAAATTAAATTGTATGATTATTTGTTAGTAGGCTTTTATTTACTTTAATTTTGATTAAATAGAGGTATATTTTAAATTCAAATAGGGTGAAATTAGTTATATACAGTAATTCTAACAATACAATATCTGGTTTATAGATATAATATAATGAATGCTCGTGATTCAGTAATTAATTTATTATTAATACTATAATGCATCAAGCCTTAAAGTTGAGAGGTGCACTTTGCGACAATCATCACCTTGTTTTTGTATTTCAATAAAATATTTAGCTCAATTGACATAAAAATAAATTTTATTTTCGTGCGTGGTTACTTCGAGATAACGAATTTCTTTCAATAAAAGCATCATAGAATGAATAAAAATTAGGGGTTTATCGTAAATGACGATATTCATAAAATATACAAAAAGTTGTCATTGTTAATGTTTATTTTAATAAAGGTTTGATATTTTAATTGTAATGAAAATTGAGGAACGAACACGCGCAATTACCAAGCGATAGTTTACGTATATATTTTTTGAATATTTTGGGGATATATTAATTTTATTATTTGAAAATGTTATTTGCAAATGCAAATTTACATCTTTAAAATCAGTACTCGAGAAAGTTTAAAATTTAATATAAAACTCGCACTTCAAATTTAAATTCCTTCTAAAAAAATTATCTTGTAAATTAATAAATCATAATTAAATAACTTATTTCGATTAAATAAAAAATGTCAACTGTAAAATGACCACAAATTATTTTTTTTTTGTAAAAACATTGAAGCGAAGCGATGTATTTTTTTAGAATGAGCAATGAATTCGATTAATTATTTAATGATTTATATTCTAAATATTTATTTATTAGATTAATCCACTTGGCATTCTTTTATTTTAAAAAGTTTATTTATATGCTTACTATCTTATTTAATATTTTATTATCGTATTGGTTAGATTTTCTATCTTAGATAATTTTCTATCTTAAATGATATGAATATTGAAAATTCATATAAACATTTTGTTTATGATTAATAAATATATTTTTTGAACATTTACAGATTATGAATAAATAATATCATTTTTGTATACAAATTATCAATTTCGTGATAATTAAAATAAGAAATATAAATTACTTTAGTTGAATATTGCATTTATATATATATATATTTATATTTAATGATGAAATATGCCTGATTATTTTAAAAGTATCTAAAATTATATAATACGAAAATAATTCCGAAAATAAATTAATTTAAAACAATAATTCATTTGTTTCCAGCTACTTTAAGAATATCTGATGGTTGTCTAATTCTACGAACAATAAATATTATAATAAAAATACAGGAAATCAATAATAGCGCACCAATTCCTGTCCCAAGTCCAATTATCAAAGGTTTTGACTTTCCATCATTATTCGTTTTATTGTCAGGTAGGCTAAAAGTTGTAACCCACTTATTACTTTTTATAATATAAAAATACACTTGAGAAGTATAAAATTTTGTAGCTAATTCGACTCCTGAAAAATACGAAATGTCATTAATCTAATCAAAAAATGGTACAAAAACATTAGAATCTACTTACAAAATGTAATTATCATGTAATCGTTATATAAATTTGCAGCATGCCCATAAATAGATAGTGGAGAATTTAATGTGGAAGTAGATGGAATGGACCATTCGAAAGGATCTTTGTTCGTGTCCAACTTCGCAAGCTTAGGACTAACACTAACAAAATTAACATTGGCAGAATATGAACAACCACCAAGTATAATAATATATCCATCCGGTGCTATTAAAAAAAATTATTTATAAATATAAAATTTTTTATATTTTCAGAATTAGCAGATAATTTCGATACTTACTTAATACAGAAGAAAAATTTAATCTTGACTTATTTCATCACCAGTGGCATCCTTAGAATTAAATATGACAATACTGTAAGTTATTATATATTACATTTACTTCATAAATTCACATCAAAAAATATATATATCATCCGTGACCATTCGTGTTTATTAGTATCAAAGAGCTTAATCTATTTGAAAATGATATAGTATATTAATAGTTATTTATTTATGAAAACAATTTAAAAATAATTTGTTAATTGATATTACTTTTGACATATCCACAAGAGTGAAATTCGCATCATAACTAATTTGTTCTACTCCGGCAAATAAACAATAATTCCATTTGGCAAAATATTAACAGCATATTGATTAGCTCAATTAAAGATATATTTAAAGTTGTCCAAGTATTCATATTGTGGTGACACAAATCGGTAATCAGGTGAAATGTCACGGGGATGATAATTTGTGGCACTAGATGAACATTCAGGTAATTGTTATCCCAGGTGAGATGACCATACGAGGATGAAGGATGAAGTATAAAGATGAAGGATGAAGTGTAAATAAAAGAGAAAGTATAAATACAACTGTTGTCAGGTGTAAGTTTAAAAAAGGGTGACAAGAAATTGTACCAGTTAATTAATTAATTAATACTTATTATTATGGAATAATTCGAAATATTTTAATTATTATTAGATAGAAAAGTAAACTTACTTCAGGGACAGTAAAATAGACATCCTAATACACGATAATATTTCTGTTGCTGAATTATACTTTACTTTTAAAAACTTTATATTTTATATTTTAATAAACTTATATCTTGTGTTGTAAAATTGCAAAATATTATTAAATATTGTTTGATACTATGTTAATTGTTTTTACTTCACCTTACTCACTGTTCCTTCATGAGTAATTAATTATTAATTGATTATTATTATTATTTATTATATTTATTATCTGTTTTGAGATGGGCTAGTTAAATCAATTGTATTAGCTGTGACCTACTAGCAGATAGAGTATATTATTATGTTTGTGTGATGCAACTTTGAGACTGATTTGAGAAATTATTTGAAATACTCTGCACAGTTGTGACAATATCATTGAAATTAAGTCCTGAAATTTTGTTAAATTCGTGGCATTAAATTCACCAATATACTGTATTTATATATATATATCCTGACTTATCAATTACTCCTTTTATATCCTGTCTATGAGAAATTTCGCTATCATCAAATACTGGTGCAAGTCATTTAGAAATAGGATAATTGTATATGTAGATGAGATTTGAGAAATCATAATTAAGTGTTTTTTTATTTCTCATGAATCCTCCAATTTGATAAATTTGTAGAATTATCCAAACCCAAAACAGCAGTTGACCCCTATGAAGACTGTTATCATTAATTAATGTCCATGTTAAGTTGTAATTATCAAATAATCTTAACAAATCTAAATAGAATAATTCAAATTTATAATCTGATTCTAATGCATTTGTACTTTCACTAAATATTAAGAATTTATCGTTGATTATTAAAGTATTATTAGATTATCTTTTAGGTGGGTCAAAGTACAAAATTGAATTGATTAATAATGTAATGGTTTACAAGGACCCCCCCTGCTTTTTGTTTTTGATTTCCTTTTATATTTTCTTTTATTATTATTTTATATATTTCTTTATTTAATTTAGATTCTATTCTGAAACCATGTGGGATTGTCAAGGATTATCAGAATAATCATTTAGTAGCTTTATTAATAATATTATATTTCATATTCAATTTTGACAATCCGTAGATTAATATTTATCATTAATATTATGTGAATAGAATTGTTTTTATTTTCTTTTTATTTTATTTCTGTCTTTATATTTTATTTATTTTATTAATTCTTTTATTTTGCTAAGCCCAAATCTGGATAAAAGGGTTTTAAGCTCTAAGTATTATTAAATGTCAATATATTTTATTATGTATTTTTACTTTTGTAATTTTATATAAATAAGGTATAAGAATAATAAAGAAAAGGGCAGATTTCATTCTGCTCAAATAATTATTTATTTATTTATTAAATACTCTGTTTGACCGAATTTTCTCAATTTACTTTTCTTTTACTTGTAATTATAAATGAGTTAGGACAACTCGTTATACTTAGTAACAGCGGATCTTTGAATACTTTATAAACCTTATAGTTTATGTCTAATTGGATTCCTTGGAAACAAATGTCATCCACAAATTCTGATACTTCTGACAACAACGAACAAACTGAACCAACTGAACAACCACCTTCAACCTCCCCAATTCTAACTACTCTTCTTGCTGAATATACTCAACGGATTATAGCTGCAAGTGAAATAACTGAGGAACAACGCGCACAACTTATCTGTGAGTGATGACAACAATTATCACAACAAATACAACAAGAAGAAGAAGCACCTTCTAATTCACAACCTGTTCCTGAAAATACTGAATTTATAATTTCCCTTGATAAAGACGACAAACAAATATTACAACAAGCTGTTGCTTTATCCTTACAAGATTTAATTGACGAAAACTTTACTGAACCTGAACCTATCCAACTTGACAACTAACTTGAAATTAATTTACCTGCAAACTTACCTCCTCCTTTTTTTACTATATTAAACAATTTACCTACTATAGACGCACAACAATTTCGCACCCTTATGAATGGCTTGACTACTAGTTTTCAAAATCTTGGAACTGCTTTTACTGTTCAAAATCCTCCTCCTGCTTCTACACCCCAAATTTCTGTTCTTATTCCTGTCTTCCGAAAAGAAACTAGTGAGAATGTTGCTGCTTGGTTACAGCAAGTACAAACTATTTTTGAAGCACAAGGACTTGGCAATGATACTGCTCGAATTCGATACGCTAGTACCAACATGAAAGGTGCTGCAGGAAATTGGTATATGCAACAAATAACTGCATACTTACCTAATGCAGGATTACCCTGGGCTGATTGGGCTACTTTTAAAACTGCTCTACAAGCTATTTTTCAACTGCCTAATTATCAACATCACCTCCGATAACAAATTTAACAGTTGCGAAAAATTGGTTCTGTCCGTAATTATACTTCCCGATT